CCTGCCGAAAAAACGTTCTACGGACCTTCGGGGAAGCCATACACCATTGGTAACGCTGGGCATGAAGACGCCTACCAGTTCAACGGTTCAGTGGTGCTTCTAAGTGTCTTGAATTGGGCATCGTCAGTTGATGACGTTGATGAGCTAAGAGGTTTGAGATTCAAAACTTTATAAATCATCCTAAAGTACTTTTGCCCTTCAGTATACTTAATATTCACTATATTGGATGCAAGCACCGTGACGGCCTCGGCCAGACAAAGTGTAGTAGAACCTCGCATTACGGACATCCGATTAATACGGACCTTTTATTAAGTTTCATTTGTTCCGACGAAAAGCTCATATATTTTCGTTAATTCTCTAAAATTAACCCGCTCAATATGGACATTGGTTAATTAAACAAAGTTTTCTCTTGAGAATGACTGCTTTCCTCTTCATTTCGATAAATCATGCGTCCATGAGGTTTTTTTGAGTGCCCGCTTGATACGGGGACCCGGTTAATAAATGTCCCCGTGGTGTCCGTATTAGTCAGGTTCCACCGTATGATTTTCCTTAACCTAAATCGCATACATAAACTAGTAGTAGTTAAAACCAAAGCTACCCCGCCCTGTATGACTGTTGTAGGTCAAAAGTATTCTTGGTTGTTGCGTAGCTCTTTGAAATATACCGATTCATAATTAAAGATTTTAACACATATTCCATATAATATATGCGATAAAAACAGGAAACGCAAGGTTCCATGCATTGATTCAGGACTAATTCAGGCCGATTTACTCAGCTTTGATCATAAAATTCTCAGTTTCAAAAATATTTTATTCTAAACCATCGGAAAAAACGATTAGAAGTGGCAATTTTTCGCCCTTTCTTTTTCACTTTTTACATACAGTTAATTTGATTGGCCGGAAAGTTAAAGCCTTAGTAATCAAAAGGTTTGATCAATTCACCCTAGCATGTTCTACTCATGTTTTTAACTATCAAGACAACACTTCAGAAAATCTTTATAGAAGGACATCTGTGAGCAGGGAGTTCATCAGCACAGAATTTAATTGTTAGCGAATTTCTGTAATCGTCCATCGTTCTGCAAAAGATAAGCTAGCCGTTGATTCACTCGTCTTGCTTGTTTGTGGACTGAGTCTTAATCCCCCTGGCAATTTTTTTCCAATCAGCGATTTGTGAACACGTGTCTGGCAAACTCTCCAAATGTTTATTTATACGCAGTTATACGCACCTTAGAACTTAATCTGCGCTTATCGAGAGTCTTTTGGTCCATAACTTTCAAAACAGCTGCTCCACAGAATGTCACTGATAACACGTAACGCAAAAAAGTATCGAAGTATGACTACACAGTAAGTGTCAGAAAATCAACCTAAGCGGTCCCTTCGGGGATTTTCCGTCTTACGTTATCCTTACCAATAGCATCTCTTACTTGCGGGCGTGAACAATAGAAACGTCATCATTACCCAACGATTCCATGCGGCCCCTGATTAAGAGATCGAGATTTTTTCTGGCATACTGGCTGTATATTTCAACTCTTAGAACTTTTCTATATATACGAGTAAGCTACGAGGATGCCTGCTTGGGATTTCGCTTTCCGGACGAAATCCTTGCTTGGGCAAAAACATTGAGATATGACAGTAAAGTACCAGCAGTGGCAATTAATTTGCACTCTTTGTTATAAATAGCTGAGTATCAACTAGTCAGACCCAAAGAATCCTTGATGGTCCCCACAACTTCTTAGTTAAAATTATAAGGCCCCTTAATCTGGGAAAAGGTAAATTCTAGTGCTTATTTCGGTAACTAAAATCATTCAATACCAAAAAACAATACGTTTTCTATTTTCTTTTTCTTGCGCTTAACGTCTGCATTCGTTTTCACTTGACACAATACTCCTATACTGTATATGCTTGTGCTTGTCCTTCCGTTGGTCTTGAAAAACCAGGTTTGAAGTAAGAAAGGGACAATATTGATACAACGCAGAAAACGCAGAAAACGAAGCAGCAGCTTCGAGCCACAGTGTAATTTTCGAAGGTTAAGTTAGAGAGAAAAAATGTATCCATCTTAAAATGTATCGAACCTTCTAGCTTTACAAATACTTTCTCTAATTAATAATTACTTAATAATTATCGTAACATTTACTGAAATTCTTTTGTCATCAAATCCTGTGAAGGTCTTTATCGGATCATCAAAAAAAACGTACCAGCAGGAGGATCCGTTCTTGTTAAATGGAATCCAATCTTGAGGAAGGCGTGCCCATTTGTTCACGTTTACCACAGAGAACAAGGAGAAAGCAAATGGAACTCTGTGTCTGTGACATCACAATTGCAAGAAAGGGCAGTGTTTAACAGCCACACTCTTTACTTAGACTGCTTGAGAAAATATGAAATAGTAGTTTCCTCGTACGCTGCTTTTGAGGAGAGGGACTTGAGGGACAAACAGATGTGGACTGTGAGCACAGGAGAAGGTAGCTAACGCAGAACTTAATTACGATATTACTTAAGGAGAAAAAAAAGTGACTCTAACTCTATTAGCCTCTATTTCAATCCTCGGAATTCAGAGTTCTAAGCTATGTTATTCCAACTAACTCTCACTAAATTCATTTAACCGAAATATGTCTGTGGAATTAATGAAAAGCTACCAAAGAAAAGTGATTTCTGGGTAATAGCCTGAGGAAAAACCTAACGGGTCGGAGAATCTGAGTCATTTGTGTGTAAAGTGTCTTAAAAGCCGGAGAGAGCCTTGAGTGAAATGTTTAAAGGAGAATGAGATGGGTTAAATAAACACCCAGCAGTAATAGTACCATGTGATATTCTTTTCCACATTTAAAATTGACAATTTTTCCCTCTAAAATAGAATAATATTCCGAAATATTTGTTTATTTCAGATGGAATGTGCTGCGATGAGGAAGAATGGGAAATGGACCTTACTCGGCAAGGATGGATACTGAATTGCTCAGGGACAGGAAGATACTTGTTTGGAATTTTACGGAAGTCCAAAGGCCCAAAAGGTGGCATTGACCTCTTAACAAAAGGAAAATGCTGCACACCTCCACTCGTTTATCGTGATGAAGTTCTCGTTTGCATAGAAGTCCAGTGGAATGCCTCGTTGAACAGGTCAGTGAAATGAGCTGGTGCCTCGGTGCTAAATTAAAAGTAGAATGTTAGGGTGTATAATGTAGTCAGTTTGTTTCTAAATTGCGAGCGAGGTCGGGGGTACAGGGTAGAAAAACGGAGAGAGAGCTTGCAGTCATGCTAGGAATAGGCA